ATGGGTGTAAAAAACACTAAATAGGCTTGGAATAACCTATCTAAAAACCTATCATACATAATTTTTAATCTTGTGTTCCTTACCTATTCTACCTCCACAAAATTTGCTACCCTTTTCAATTGTCCAGCTAAATACAATGACTATGAGGGGGTTACAGGTTGTTACCATTGTCTATGTTGGCTGGGCGTCAATCCTTAAGATAATTTTTGGGCGCTGAGACCCCTTTATGTCAGCATTCTACTCATTCATGGCATTCACATCGGAGTTAGCTACCACTTTAAAAGGCTCTGCTATTTCATTCTCTGTCATCTTCTGGGAAATATGATGACCATGAAAGGGTTATAGGCTGTTTTTGTCACGACCCGACCCGACGGGGACGGATCCCGCCCGAGCCGGATCGCGACAGAACCTTTTTATCCAGGATCTGGCTTTGGAATTTGGTTCTGAACTGAATCTTCCAAAATAATTAACTCAACAGACACACAAACACAGTCGTTCTGGACGATCCTGGAGCAGATTTTTGATATTACAGTTTTCATGGTCTATGTTGGTTGGGTGTCAATCCTTAGGATAATTTTTGGAGGTTGAGACCCCTTTGTATTAGCATTCTCTTCATCCATGCCATTCACATCGGTGCTAGCTACCACATTATGAGGATCTACTTATTTTTCAATCTGTGCCATCTTGTGTAACGCCCCAGAATCAAATATGAAAGAAGAATCTATTTTATCTTCTTAATTAATCAACCAGAACTTTCATAAATCATCAAAATAATAAATTTATATATCAAGTGAAAGCAACTAATAATCATATACATCAAAATATTTCACTTATTTTATTTACCAAAATTTTATATACACTAGTTAGGAGATCACTATAGTTGCTATTCTATCACAAGCTCATGAATACAAATAAGAAAAGAAAATAAACAACAAAATCTAAAAAAAGACTTGAGAATCTATGCCAATCTCAATCTATCTGGTCCTGACCCCTTCACTGACATAGCTTAAATCATTAAAGTTCACATAATGAGTTAAAAAGTCCAACAACAACTTAAACTTACCAAAGCTTTCAAACCAATCCTAGAAGAATCAATATGCATACTAAGTTTAGTCAATAAGATCAGTCTTATCAATGATCTGTTATCATTTGTAAAGCTCATGATAATCAATAATAAAAGTAAGGAAATTATTACACTAAATCTTGGAATCAATAGTAGGCATGAGAATCAAGAAATCAGTAAAACAGTGGTACTATAATCATTCAAGCATCAGTAAAAAGAATTACATGCACACACTTATCAATATTATCAATCTTATCCTCTTACATTCATCTTATCAATTATATATAATTAGTACTTATATCCATTTATATGCTACCTATGTATGCATGTTACTACTTTATCTATCAATAATATTAGTATATGTATGCATCATAATATGGTTTAGCAAGGAAGGGTTTTATTCAATACAAGAAAATCTATATACTATAACTTCAAAAAATTATAACTTTAATTCTACTCAGTGGAATTCAGTGATGTTACTATCAAAATGTCCACACTATTTATATCTATTATATACAAAATTTATATGATAAAAGCTTAATAAATTAGGAAAAAATGTGTTTTTATCGGTTTAGGAGAAAAGAAATATGTCAAACTCAAAATTATTGAAAATTAAAATGAGATTTGGGTTACTTAGAATGAATAATAGAAATCTCTAAACAAAATCATCGAACAAAAAAGCTCTGAATGGCATTTTCTCTCCTCCTCCTCTTCCTTCTTCGGCAAGGCATGCGACTGAAATTCAAAATTTTCATTTAAAAAAATTAAAAAATTTGAGTTATTTCATCTTGTAGCTAAATATGATGACCATGAGGGGGCTCTAGTTTATTTCCATCGTCCATGTTGGTTGGTTGCAAATTCTTTAGGTAATTTTAGGTGTTAGGAAACTTTGTGCCACTATCCTCCTTTATGGTGGTATTCAAAATTGCTGCTAGCTACCTCTTTATGAGACTTCGCCTCTTTTTTCAATCTCTATCGTCTTCGCAAGATTGCTTTGTTAATATCTTAGGATATCCAATTTTTCTTTATATTAGCTCTCATTTCCTCCAAGTTTGGTCGTATCTCCCATACTGTTAATCAATCATATAGATATGCTTCAATTCATTCAAATGTGACCAGGGATGGAACCAACTTTAATTTTCAGGGGTGGGACGTATAAGTAACTGTTCGCGTATATGTCGGGGGTCTAAGGGGGCAGTGCCCCCTGGCGGGGTTCGACCTGCTTGGTCAGGTCGTAGGGTCAAGGGGCAGCTCCCCTGCAGGGGTTTTCGAGGGCGGAACAAATTTTGATTTACTATTTCTCTTTGTATTTGATTCATCATTCCCTAACAATAACACATCTACACAATGTATTTAATTATATTGGTGACAATTGCCTAAAGACCATAGTATTTTAACATTTTTGGGGGGGGGGCGGGGGCAATTACCTAAAAATCCTTGTAATAAAGAGTAAAAATTATCTAAATAAGAGTTTAATGAAAAACAAATTTTTTTTTTTTAGGGGGGTCAATTTCTACGGGTTCTGACCCTGAATGTGACAATCTTAGGGCCCTTTTCATTTGTGGTCCTTCTATTCCTTCTTTAGCGGCTCCTCATTCGATGTGTCCCCCCAAACAGCATTAGTAGTATTGATCCATACACTTTCAAATCCCTTAACTTCATCACAATGGATGCTTTTGATCTATAGGGTGTAGGATCCTTGATTTCCTTAAATATTATGGTCTATTTAATATTGCTTCACCTCCTCCAAAGCACTCAAGCATCTATTTTGGGTAGTGAGAAATTTTCAAAGTTTCCATTTATCATTGATAATAAGGCGCCCTCTCATATTTCTTCTAGAAAACTCTCAATAATTATTTCCCTTAACCTCTCATAAGGGTCGTTTAACTTGGGTGCTCACTAGCACCATTGTGTTCGAATTGGTTGCCACCTTGAACCTATTATTAGTCAGTAAATTCTTAAGTGATATATGATCTCTTCTACAAACCATCAATAAATAACAAAATGGTCATAGCTCTTATGGAGGATCCTAGATTTCCTCACTAAAATTTGAAAGGATGGAATATTATTTACAATATTTTTTTTAATGTTGCTAAATATCGAGAGACTATTCACAACGATTAGAAAATACCCATATTATTATTTTATTGTCTGTTTTTGTGTTCATCTTTCTATTTATTTTTAATTTCTATCGATCTAATACAAAGCCTCGCATCCGCCCCAAATAGCTAGAGTTTGCCTATCATTTCCCCTACTCAAGGGGTCAAACAATTAAGTCATTTTATATTGCTTTCAATAGAAAAATTAGCTCTCCCCCCACAATCACTAACTTGATCATCAAAAACTCTAAATGATGATCAACAAATCACCAAAATATCTACTTCATAGCTCTACAAGCATCAAAATTGTCTTTCACAATGATTAATCTAATCTAACAACAAATGATTAACAAAAAAATATAATTAAAAACCCCTAATTACATGATTAACAGTACTGTTAAGCCCTCAAAATTTGCTAGAACCCTAATCCTAGGAGACATGATGGTGCTGATGATAGGGGCTTTCTTGCTGTTGTGGAAAACCCTGTTGACCTATCATAGTCTGCCACACCGCAGTGTGTTAACCTAATCCTCCCTTATTTTCCTTGCTTAATTACGTGCAATCCCCTCAACTGAGACATAACTTTAAGGATTTGGCTTACACAACTATGGGACAAATATGTAATTAAGGTATATAACATTAGTAATTAACCACTAAGCTAATTAATTAATTAACGTCGTCGCTGTAATAATGCTTGATTTGACTATAGTTTTCCCTCAATAAGTGACATGAAAATTAATTAGAGAGAGAATTTATCTTATGGGTGTAACTAAGGTTTCGTTTGGAATAGCTTTCTTAATGCTTCTTAAAACCGCTTTCTAGTACAAAATTAAATTTTTTGTACTAAAAAATTGTTTTAAGAAACATTAATAAAGTCGTCACAAATGAAGCCTAAGTAGAGTTAGCTTGAGCTTGGCTCAATCAATGACTCACGAGCTAAGCTTTGTGAGCTAATGAGCCAAGTTTGAGCTAGCCTGACTCGGCTCATTAGCTAACGAGCTAACTAGTTTAAATATAGAAAAAATATATTATAATTCAGAGGTTCAAATATAATTCGATTAAAAACATTTAAAAATTATATCTTACTTTCTTATATTAAATGATTTTTTATTATATATCTTTTAATTTCACATTCTTTCTATAAACTTTTTATAATAGTTACTTGAATCATAATAGTTTTTTTTTTCTTTTTTTAATAATTTTTTATAATAACTACTTGTAAAAATTAATATTTATTTCAAATAAATAAAATAAACAAAGAATTAAATTAAATCATTTTTTAAAACAAAATTTTCTATTTGTATTTAAATCAATATATATGTCTATGTGTCTATGTATAAGTCTTCATACACTAGAATAGTATGAATATTATTCATATATGACCAATTTAGATCTAGAGTACCACATTACCTCAAACCCTTCAACTATACAAAATGGGTCCAATATATTCTCTCTTTTTGTAATTGTGATATAAAATTGATGGCAATTTAGTCAATCGATTTTACAAAATTGATCCGAATTTAGTCTTTAAGGAATTATTTTGGATCAATTTTGTATAGTCGGAAGAGCAAATTAGACTAACATTATATTCTGTGATTAAAATGATCATATATGAATTGTGAAGGGACTATTTTGAAATTTATCTCTTATAAAATTATAAATAAGATGTACGACAAAGTAAGGATTTTAAAATCATTTTTATATAAAATTAAATTGTTATTAAAAAAAGGAACGCAGGAAGAAGCCAATGGAGCCATAGACCTCTATAAAACCATTGAAACCTCTCTACTCCCTTAAAGCAAACAAACTCCTCTCTATCTCCTCAGACTAATTCAAAAGTTCTGCTTACAGAAAGAGGAACTCATACCAATATTACTGATCTTTCTCTCCTCTCTTTCCGCAGCTGAGAGAAAATGGTGAGGTCTCCTTGCCGCGAAGAAACAGGCTTGAAGAAAGGTCCATGGACGCCAGAAGAAGACCAGAAGCTCATCGACTACATTCAGAAGCAAGGCAGCCATGGAAGCTGGAGACATCTTCCGAGGATCGCCGGACTTAACCGGTGTGGGAAGAGTTGCAGGCTCCGATGGACAAACTATCTCCGGCCTGATATCAAGCGCGGGAAATTCTCAGAGGAGGAGGAGAAGCTTATAATTAATCTCCACTCTATGCTTGGAAATAAGTATGCATTATTTTTTATCTTGTAATATTCAAATTTTGTATATTTCTAAAATTAAATTTACTATAATATTATCTAAATCACAAAAGCAAAAAAATATATTTTTAAGCCATTTTTATTTTTTTTAATTAAATTTGCAACTAGTTGATGTTACCATGTTAGATATGAAAAAAAAAAAAATGATTTGAATGATATTAATGTTATTTTCACCATTATTTTTGTATGATGAAATTCATATAAATGGTGGAGTGAGAAACTTTTTCTTGAGAGAGACACATTAATTAATTTAAATTTTTTGAGAAGCAAAAATTGAATGTTTAGTAATAAAAATAACAAAAAATAATGATATATATATATATATATATAATTTATGGAGGTCATGTGCTCTCACATGTCCTCCTTAAATCTTTCCTTATAAGATAAAATTCTTATAATAATGAATTTGTGATAAAAATTTAGATTGACTATTATTATTTAACATTGCTTATTGAATAAATTATCTTTCTATAAGAACTTTTATAAGAAATTTCTATTAAATTTCTCATAGCAATCTCTGTTTTGAATCAAAATATAAGTTTTTTTTTTTAATGCAAGCTCAAGTTAAATGTTTAATTATTTATTTTGTTATTTAGGTGGTCTTTGATCTCTACCAAGTTACCGGGCCGAACAGATAATGAGATCAAGAATTATTGGAACACGCATCTTAAAAAGAAGCTTCTATTAATGGGCATCGACCCGGTCACCCACCGCCGTAGAACCGATCTCGAGCTCCTTGCCAACTTTCCTAAGCTTCTATCATCTTCTTCTAATAGCTGCAGCCTAATAAATCCTTTAATGGAGAACACCCTTGGGCTTCCAACTGACACAGTGCAGCTAGCTCGAATTCAAATAATGCAAGCCTTGCTTCAAGTTTTACTCAAAGCTTCTTCTTTTTCTTCTTCTTCTTCAAATCCAAATGCTTATTCAAATTTGGTTTTGAACAATCTCTTGAGCTCTTCACTTCCTCCTCTTCAAACCTTCTCTGATAGCTCCAATAGCTCTTCCCTTCCTCCTGGAACTTCAGCTTTTGGAGAATCAGTTCAAACTCCTCCTAGTTACCAAGATTTTGCTGCTCAGAATTCAGAAAATATCAGCAAACAATTACTGTTTTATTCTAACAGTAACAATATGTTAGAACCATCTGAAAACATTTCAGTTGACCAGAAACAAGATCAAATTGATTTGAATGAAACTTCTGCAACTAAGTCTATCAGCACAAGGTCATTGGATGCATTAAATTTGAGTGATCTAGATGATTCGGATCTTAGCTGGAAGGATTTTCTTGAGTAAGTGCTTCAACTATTTACATGAATAGTTTTCTGTTACTTAATTTCAGTAATTTGAGAATGGTTAATTTATAATAGAATTTTCATATTGTTGCAGCCAAATATATTGGTAGAAAGCAACTTAGAAGAGGACTGAGAGCACAGACCGAGGAAAGATCGATCTGTAAATAGGAAGATCGGTTTCAAGCGAGCTTTGTTAGTTCTTATTAATTACCAGCCTGAAACCTCAAAGTAGAATACATGTTTTGTACATAGTAATGTCATTTAGAAAGAAGAAACAGTCATGTGAATGTATAGATTGTATAATTTAATATTTACTAAAAAAAATTATTAATCATTATTGTCTTCTATCTTAGAATGAAATCTTGCTCCATTACTTAGGGGCTATTTGGTTTGAAGAAAAATGAGTGTAAACTATTGAAAATGCAATGGTTCTAAGAATGTTCGTATTTGATTTGATGAAAAAAGAAAATGTAGAATAAAAGTTTCGTGAATTTCTAATTTACTCAACAGTTCATTTCAGATTTATTCAAAATTCACCTAATTATGAATATACGGCATGCTGACTCCGTTGTCGATGTAAGAAACCACCGATTGCCTGCAATTGTTGTCCCTGCTATCATCACCGGTCGCCGGTACCTGCCGTCGACCACTACCACTTGCCACAATCAACCAATAAATGTCACTGTCGGCACACTGCATTCATTTGGTTCAAACCAAACAAAAAAAATATAATCACCAACATTTGTTTTTCACTCATCCAAATATTTCATATACAATATTACATTCATTTTCCAACAAAATCAAAGAGCCCCTTAGGTCTTACTTTTAGTTATTTTTGAGTGTTGGAAATAGTTTGAATGTTATTAATTAGTTTTAGTGAGGAGAAGTTAGCTGAAGGCGAAAAGGACATGCATGGCCTTATTCAAAAGGTTTTACTGTAATAAGAAAAGAATATAAAAGCATAATTTTTGTTACCCGCTAACTTCCAATAATATTTTCTGAAAGTCCAAAGGTCTGTGCTTTTTCTATGCCTGTTTTGAATAAATGAAAAATTTGCAGTGCAGCTTCAGAAAAAATTTTAAGCTGTAGCTTCCAGAAAACATCCAGATACAATGCCACATCCATAATCTAATTAATACATTATAATTAAAGTCATACTATTAGTTACCAATTAGGTTAATGACTCTCATTCCTTTAGCTTCAAGTCATTGACTGCACCAACATAAACCTAACAGCTTCTCATTCTCCCTTTCAGCACACAAACTCTAAAGAGCTCATTTTGGGAGAAGATTTGTTGTAAAAAGGAAAAAAGATGTTCAACGGATTAATGATTGTTATAGAATTTAGATTTAGAAGATGATTTAACCAACTGAAATAGATGATGTTATTATTAAATTAACTAAAATTCATGAGCTACGTTAAAATAGAAATGTGAATACAAGTAATTATATTCCAAAATTTAGTTCTTTCTAAAGCTCTTCCAAGTATAGCTAGAAACAAATTACTCTAAGATATTAATTTTGCGTGGTAGAAACAAATTACAAAAAGATATCTTCTGCAATGGAAATTCGAGTCTTGAGATATTTGAGTTATTATTAGGTGAAAAGAATCAAAATAATCCCTCAACTTTTCTTTGGGAGGAGTCAAAATAATCTCCAACTCTTTTGAGGGATAAATTAGGTCTCTCAACTCATTTAAATGGGATCTTTTGGGTCTTAACATTCAATATTAGAGTTAATGATATTAAATGTAAGGGTATTTTGATAAAATATGATTAAAATTTTTGAAATTAAAATTATTATTATTATTATTAATTTTTTCAAAAAAAAGTTACAATAATTTTTTTAGAAAAATTATAATTACTTAAAAATTATATTTAATAAATATTTAATTAAAAAATGACCAAAATACCTTTACATTTAACACCAGTAACTCCAACATTAGATGTTATGACAGACAATCCCCATATCTACTTTTGAAAATATTTTAGATTCTCTTCCAATATATCTTCTTAAACAAATGATAAACTATAAACCTACTAAAATATCCATAATACTGAAAATAAATTCATCCAAAAAAATCTCATTCATTTCATCAAAATATAAACATGGGATTTACACTACAATACACAGCTACTTACAGAATAGATAAAATAGAAAAATATAATCAATGCTAGCAATGATCGTACAAAAAAATAAAAACAGAGAAATACCTATAAACTCAGATCAAATCTTGAAACCGCTAATCAATTGGCTCATTCCCTTTCCCAGATCTTGAAAATCAAAAGCAAAATCATAGTAAGCTACAACATCTTAGAATGCCACAAACATTGATCAAAATTTTCTTTATTAAATGTTTTCATAATATTTAAAAATAATTAAAAGCAATATAATAAATCACTGTGCTGAGTAAAGTAATACGAGCATAAAAGTTATTTAAACATTTAAATAATAATACTAAGCTATATATCTAATAAACTGGAATTCATATCATAGAACATAACAGAACAGTTTTCAATCCCATGCAAAATATCAAAGGATTCATACCCTTTATGACTCTCTTTGTGCTTATAATACTAGAACATGACTTATAATAATCAGAACAAGGCTTTTTAGCCATCCGAACATGCTTTAATTTATAGGCACTAGATTCCCAGTCATAGACATAATCCTTTGATAGCCTCTTATATTTCCCAATAGACATAATTCGATCATATAAACACATATATCATCACATTGTAACAATTAAAGTAAAGTTAGGCATATTTTATAATGGTAAATCTTTCTATAATAGTAGGTAATAAAAATTCTTATTGAGTAAAAATGCATAATTTCAAAAAATAATCAAATTATCAGAGATTATGTAAAATATCATATTAAAATTTTAATCACACTACAATAATATTTTTCAGAATTTAGGTTATTTTCTATTCAATAAAATCTATATAAAGTCCAAAATACCTAATAATTTTTTTTTAGAAAATATTCAAGATGTTCATAATCTCAATATCTATAACATATAAAAAGTTATTCTATGAAAGTTTTACTTGTGCAAAATTATTTCTATTTTTCAATAATGAAAATAAAAATTTGATCAGATATATTCAATAAATACTTTGTATTTTTGAAAATTGAGGTATGAAAAACATGATCAACCTCGATCTGGATAACTTTGTTAACTGAATCGACGGATAAAATGATACGAAGCCTCCACTGCCACCTAAATGAAATGAATCAAACAATGATTTTAAAATATATTTAAAGAGTACTTAGTGGCTTAGTATTGTGGCGCTTGTTCTTTTTCCCAAAAAACTGAGACTCCAACGCTGAAATATCACTATTTGGCACATTGGCGTTGTTGCAGAACCACGACACTCAGACACCAAACATATAGGCACTCAAATTGTAACATTTTTTAGACTTTTAGCAAAAATAACTCTAGACCCTTCGAACTCATTCAAAAATACATGCAATATTCTTTAAGCATTAAAATACTTTCAAACACATGTAAATATGTTTAAAACATAAAATTTTAAAAATTTATCTTTTTTCAATCGGGTCAAACTAATCTGAACTATATAATAAATGATCCTAGAGGTCTCACAAAGCCATTAGGCGATAATAAATTGAAATCATTGAATGTCAAGTAAGAAGAAATGGTTTACTCAATCATTCTCTTTATGAATGATGGTTATGAAGGAGAGAGTTGAATATCTATGCCACATAGATGCCACACATTTATAAGTGTTGGATGATGATTAATTGCAAAAGTTAAACATTAGGTACTAATTAATGATTTGCTCAATATATCATTCTCTTTATGAATGGCGAACTGATAATGAAGAAGCATGTCATAAAATGTCAATGTATGATAGATATTAGATATCTATAGGTGTCATACAATGATCAGCTAAGAATGCCAAATATTTGGAGGCATGTGTATGATTGGTGGTAATCTTCTTAATCTTTCCCTTAATATGAGGGAAGACTAATTATAACTAGTAAGGTGGGCATCAAACATCCATAGCTAGCATGCATCAAATGAAGCTTGATTGGGAATACCTATCATTAAGATATTGCTAATTGTTTGCTTGATCATTCCCTATAAAAAGAGAGTTACCTGACAAAAAAGGCATACATCAAATATCAGCATTTAATGAATTTCGAACAATAATAATGTAACAGCTCGAACTCTTAACTATTAAGGTATGTTTCACTTCGACCTAATACCCGGCCCTCATGATTTTATCCCATTGGTGTAACTTTCCAAGAGATCGTCCATCCTGATTGTTCCAACAAGAGAACGCTTAACTTTTCTTAATGAAAATTTAACCATTACATCAAAAGATGTCTTGATCTTTAAGAGTTTAGTTTTTCTTATTTGAGATATTTTACAATCTCCCACACTTAAGTAATAACATCCTCGAAACTATATATTCTTATCCCATAACCATTCACCAAATATATAAGATTATAGAGATGGTCCATATACAAGTTCAAGTGATGGCTTCTGTTATGTACGTAGCACTTTATATATCTCCATATAGGGTTAAAGAGATGGTTCTCATGGCATATCACTTTGTCTTGTATGATACTTAATTTTCATCTTCTGGTTAGTGTATTACTCTAATACCATTATATAACAACTCAAACCCTTAACTATCGAAGTATTGTTCACTTTCATCTGATGGCCACACAATTTTGTCCCGTTGCTGTAACTTCCCGAGAGGTTACCTATCTCGGAATTTTTCCCACACAAGTACACATAATTTTTCTTATTGAAATTTCATTCTTTACACAAAAATGTGTCTTAATGTTTAAGAGCTTAGTTTTTTTTTTTTAATTTAAGAGGTTTCATAATTTTCCACACTTAAGTAACTAACGTCCTCATCAGTATCCTTATCCTAGAATCATTCACCAAGCATATAGGATTCTAGATGTGGTCTCTACAAGTTTATGTGGTGGCTCTCGTAATGTAACACTTTATCTCCATATAGGGTTTAAGAGGTATCCCCCAAGACGTAGAACTTTGAGTACTAAAGACCAACATGGTGGACATCAAACATTAGTGGTTGATAAGTGTTGGACATTATCAGGCAACCAAAGTTGACAAGGAATGTCATATATTGAACGATAACCTAGCATCCTACGTTGTTATTCTCTTTATAAAAGGGAGATCGACTAATGACCCAGAAGATAGGCATTATATTTCAATAGCTAACTAATGTTGGATGTCGACCCATGTATACATTGGATGACGCTTAACGAGGAACGCCATAGGTCTAATGACCTTGAGGGGTTTAATCCAATTTTTATAGGAGGGGAGTCCAAATAATCAAATATG